AATCCACCCTGGAAGACAAACAAAGGACAAAGGTGTAAACATTAATAGATTCCGAAATGTTTGCAGACCATTACTGTGCTAAAATATATATATAACAAACAAGTTATATGCATTGAAGCTCACCTGTTGGTATGAACAATGTGTTTCCTTGTTTGACCGAGCACCTGTAACACATATCAACCTGGTCTCCAAAGAACATCTCATTCTGGTTAGACGAGGAACTCCACCGTTCAAAAAGTGCCAAGTTAGCTGTGGTGGGGGAAATAAGGTAGAATATCTTCTCGCCCTGAATAGACAGAGACAGACAATTTCTTAGAAATAATACAGATTCATATCACAAAATAAATAAAGCTGTTGTTTCGGTAAGGGTAACTTCCCAAACATGATTGAAATTATTTTTCTTCTCACCCTGAGGACATGGTACCATACTGAGGTGCCTCCAAAGTCAATGTGAAAGTCTGTGTAGCTGTCCTTGACTCCCATTAGACAGTACTTCTGCACATTGGGGCGTTCAAACACAGAATCTTCAGGCCAGAGGTTTTCCACCCATGACAGTTTTCTTACAATCTTTGGAGTCTCCACCAAGTTTGAGAGCCTAAAAAAATTCAAAAACAAGTCTGTAGTTTTCTGCTGGGTTGATAAATACACACGAGAAAACAGTTCACCTTTTTTAGACTAAGCCCCAAAATTATGGAATACCCTACCAAGAGCTATAAAAGATGCATGCTAAAGGTAGCTTTTAATACATTTCATACTTTATAGTCGGTTTCTTTTTTTTATATATCTTCTACTGTATTTTTGGTGTGTAATTGTATTGTATATCTGCCCTTGTTTATTTGTATTATTATATAACAGCACTTTCAACTGGACTCTTATCCATGAAAACACACTTCACTTAAAATATGATGTTCTTATTAATTGTTTTCAAAGTAATTTTTTGTAATTGCTAGAAAAAAAAAAATATATATAACTCAAGACGCAAGACAGTGTATCCTAATGAACACTGAACAGTTGATATATTTGTGTACCTGGTCTCAGAGAACTCCAGACTGATGACATTCAGTACTTTCTCTCTATTGGGGCTGTTGTAGTATTCAACAAAGTCCCCCAACCGCATCTTCATGTCACATTGGCGAGAAACATCAATCACATCAATCTGTCTGTCTGAACCTGCATGAGAACAAAATGAAAAAGGTTGAAAATAATTAGCTTATACACATTAGCCTGAACATGTTTACATTAATCAGTATGTATTCAGTAATAAAAACTATACCAATGTACTGCTCTACATCGCTGACGCCAAATGATGCCGGAGGAAGGGTCATGCCTAGGCCATCCCGCCTCAGCACCATGACAGGAACGCTGAATGAATGCTCTTCCAGAAACTCGACTGTCAGCTGGGCCCCCGACGGCTTGAGCAAAACTTCATCCGCACTGTCATAGAAACACAAATAGACATTTGCAAACATTTTAGTAACATAGTGAAAACGTTCAAAAGAGAAGGCTTTTCAATCATGTTACAAAGAAGACCAAGGGTCTCCAACCAAAAATAATTAGATAGAAAACTATCTTAGGTGTTTCCTTTGATCGGAATCCTGGTTTTTATCTTTAAAAACGTATAAATAACAAACTTTAGCCTTTGCAGGGGGCTTACCCTGGGAAGGTGCGGCTCCGTAACTCCCTAACAAACTGTGGGCTGCCTGTCTTAACAGGCCGACTTGGATCCCTTGCTGCAGCGCCACCATCTGTCTGCTTGTTGCCTCCACGGCGTTTGCGCACTGAGCAAAGGAGAAACAGAGATAAGAGATCAAAAACAATATTTTATAAAAGCAAACCAATAAGGTTATTACAAATAAAGAAAATTGAACTAAAAAATGTTTACTTACTGACAGATGGCCCATGGGTGACCTGACAGTTGGGGCAGTGATACAGGTCAATCTCAGCTGCTTTGTCCTCCTCTACTCCAACACAGCTACACAGAAAACATTCTTATATCAGATAAAGAACGATGGAAAGGATAGCTGAATGCACTTTGGTGTGTGGAATATAGAATATAACTACAGGGATTAAGCAATTTAGACAACAGAAGTAACCACAACATAAATCACACATAATAATAATAATAATTTGGATTTCATGCACACAGACATCAATACGATCAACAGTGTTTAATCTGAAAATGACCCACCTTCCATGGAACCAGTCTTGACAAATGTCACACTCGATCATGAAGCGTGTCACATCATAAGGCAGGCGACACAAGCAGTACAGTGGCACCGATGCCATATTGAGTGAGAGGGAATCAGCTTTCTACTATTATTAATGTTACGTTGTCAAAATAGTATGCAGGTGGGATGATATATTTATAAAATAAATGAGATTTTAAATTATGCAAAAAATATGATGTTTCTGTAACTCTACTTCCAAAGTGATGTTACTGGTACGCATGTCCACCGTGATTCTCTTGGAAACCTGTTGAAATATAACAGAAAGAAGATAGCGTATTAATAGCTTAAAGACGGGACAATAAAACTACATTGCGATATAATTTGTAAAAATGGGACTGCTGAGAAACATATAAACTGCTCCTGCAGGGAGACGCAAACTATGTCAAATATCGTTAGCAGGGTAACAAAACTAACACTAAGGTTAGTCGTTTTGGTAGCATAACATTAATTTATTTTAAGATTATCCAGACATGCTTACAATACAGACTAGGACTACCTTCTTATTTATTATCCATATTTTGCTTCTGTTAACATGTTGTTATCATTAGCCAACGGGCAGGCCGTAACGTTAGTGCACTGATTGTAAACACGCTATGCCCCTCGAAAGTTGTACTGCTATCATAACACTAACGTGTTTAGCCAGTAAGCTAATATTAGCTATATGAGCTAACGGTGAAGCTAACATAAGCGTTTGCAAAGATGTTAACTTTAACTCGCACAAAAAAACAGTTAGTGCAATATATATTTGACATTTTGAAGAAACGATAAGTGCACTTAACACCGCAAATTCATTCAAACAAACAAAACACATAGTTTGCAATCTTGATTGATGTTTAATGCTAGCAACTCACCAGAATCTAGCTGCGGCAGGCCGAGCATCCGAAAGCCGTTGTAATCCCTACGCAAGGTCGGGGGTCGATCCGGCCTTATTATGCAACGTAAATTATAAACAATTTGCTTATCCACATATTTTTTTATTCAATTCGTAATGCACTAATATAGAGTTCAGGTCCAGAAATGTAAACTGGACCGGAAAACTACAACCTGAAGCGACAAGAACGAGCACAATAACTACAAATAGCGGCGTATTGAACTACATCAACGCCATTTCAAAGGCTGCAGCGTCAGACGGTTGCTGTCTGGTTTAAAAAGAACAATAAAGTTGTAGAGTCAAATGTGGGGTTGCGTTCAGGGAGAAAAACGTTGCCGAACGTTTGTGCGGCAACACATTTGCAGAGTAATGTAGAAAAACCGTAGCCTGCATACATAGCCTAATGTGCGTAATATGTTTATTCAAAGAATACATGCCGGTAAATGCTCAATTAATACACACGACTAAATGAAAAGGTTAAAATCAATCACAAATCAGGTAACGCCTACATTAATACATTTTCTTTTATTTCACATTATTTTTGTCCTAGTCAGCAGTTATTTTACGGACACTTTAAAGGTGTCAATGTACTTGTGATTGTCAACATATAGGAAAGGCTAATACAATAATTTGTTGCAAAGTAGTCTTATTGTGCAAACAAAATTAACCTAATATTTGCTATGTTAACATGGTTGTAATACATTTTTTGGTATGGAATTTGGTTGCATATTACATAATGTAGATTGGTACACCTCGATTTTAGGAAAAATTTATCTGTCTGATAGAAAATCTTTGTAGAAATCATTAGAACTAATTTAATCAACTTATATTATGCAGCTTTAACCTAATTTTGTGATAATGTAATAAATATATATATTTTTTTATTCATTTATGCATTTCCAAATCAGTAAATATGGGTCCTTGTGTTTTTGCCTGTGTAATTTTACCATGTGCATTTAACTGTGCATAACATTTACCATGAATACATAGTTTTTTCAGATTTTTTAAATGTATGTAATGTATAGTTGCTCCGTTTGACCTTGATGGCGGTCTTCTGATGAAGCCTGATGTGCCACATTTACCCTACACAAAAAGTTGTTGTTTTTAGGAGGACTCTGCTTCATAAGATTATGGCATTTGAACAATCAACACAACGTTGTGGTTTGATGTTTAACATCATTTATTTTGATTAGTTACAAAACATAAATAAAATCAACAGTAGAATTAGTTACAATTTACAGAGGCTAAATCACCAGCAACATACTTAATTTTTTCAGGTTTCACTGCCCAAATGTCCTTTTATCATTGGTTCCCAGTCATGTTATTTTGGGACTCCCCAGATTTTCGTTGCAATTATTTGTAAGTTAATTCAATATGAACTGCAGCTCAGCAGGAACATCTATGCAAGTATGTTATGTATCTAACAGGTTGGTGGTCCATGTTTTATAACTGAAATACATCTAAAAAATTACCAAAGATTCTCTGAAGACAATCTTGAACTCAGAGGTATATCGATGCAGGGGAGTCCCATGTAAACATAGATGAAAACCAGTGTTTTTTTCTAGTTTCAAATAACCTTATATGTATAATGATGAGAACACAATTTTACAATTTGTACAACCCCATTTCAAAATACAAAAATAATCTTTATCTTTTAGATAACATTTTGGTAACACTTCAAGGACAAAGTCAGCTCTACATCATGAATCATGATAATTAAGCTGTAGCTTGCAGCCAACATGTTAGTATCAGACATGACAGCACATTATCTCCCCTTCACTAAGAATAAACTACATCTCTGTGACGGTTTGGGATGTCTTGAAAATCAATATATTCTAGTGTATGCAGTTTCTGAACAACCATACCATTTAGCACAAGCTACTCCTTCTTAACCATTTATGTTTTATTATCTTTGACTCACTTCAGCAATCTTTAACAACCGGTAAGATCTCCTGTTTTCATTGGCAAGCAATATCTCGATAATTATTAAAACAGAAATGTTGCTTTGACTACAGGCTACTAATTATACCCAAACGTGTATTATTTCCAGACCATTCATGGTCAAATGCTTGTATGGAGCACTGATAACCCAATAAAATGTACAGTAATATATTAACTGCTGATATATTACTCTGTATCTCTACATCTACAAATAAAGGGTGCAGAAATAGAGGAATGGGACATTTTGCAGTGTGCGTAAAAAAGCACAATTATGGCCCACAGTTCAGCTTCTGAATGATACATTCACACTGACATCCTATGGTCAAAGCCTCAATTGTTTACAACTGAAACAAGGGATTTATCCGACGCCAAACAAAATTACAAAATATGCAAGTGAGGATGTGACAACGATGTTGGACATCAAGCTTGCGACCAGTATTTGGTCTAACCTCTCACTTGTTTTGTTAAAAGCCCAAAGCATAGGCATAGTAAACATTTTTAGTTGGGTACAGTGATATTTTTAGGGGCTACTTTCAATGAAAAGAAACAGGGATGAAATTCATAATGAAATATATACCAAAAGACTTTCACCAAGCTTTGTCACAAAGAAATAATATACACTCACACACCCACAAAAAAAATGCAGTAATTTTAAAAGGCAATATGGGAATAACACATGGACTCCCCGATCTATAATAACTTGGCAGTTTTATCTTTCTCCTCAGCATGACACCATGATATACTTTGATATGAGCTCTAACCGAAAGCAAAAATGTCAAATAGGAAAGCAAATGTACTTGCTTGTATGATCACAGTAAGCTGCAAATGGTAGCTTCACGAATATAAAGCAAGTGCACGCACTTTGCATTCTGGCAAGTCATGTTAGTTATAAGGTCATGCAGTCTTGGGCTGAGTGTACCCAGGTCTCCACTGAACATACATGGCATACTTCAATTTGCCATCACATCACTCATAGTAAGTTAGAGTGTTTCTATGGTACAACTGCTGAACATTAAATAATACAAATGAAGCACATGCTGTACGTTTGAACAACACTGCAACACTATATTGGCAGCACTATGGTAACGATGGTAGCCAGATCACTTTACCATGCTTTACGGTATAACATGCTATTCGTTTTCTTTTGTTGCTCAATTGTATCACCTTGTGCTGTAGGTCTGCAGTTTTATGTAATAATCATGAGAAGATCCTATCTGCATCCGGTTTTCATCATGTGCTACTACAAAAATATGTTATGCCTTACAGAAAAATTCATACAATACATGCTGATCAATTTAGATGACCATTACTAATTGCACTTTTAAGATTGATAGTCCTTTCACTGTAAGCAAAGACAAATTCAAACACAGTGTCAAATATGTTCTACCTCTGCTTAGGAAGAGTTCAACTGAGTTGGTTTTAAAACAAACATGAATGTTAATTTGTGTAAAAGGACATAAGGGATATGTACTTGGATAATCCATAAACACTCAACCACACTCATAAAACACACACGCTCATACATTTAAGAATGTATACATCTCAACACCCAAACATACCATGATTCATAAACACAGCTGTTGTGTTCCATGTTGCCCTCTGTCTGTACATGTTATAATCTATCACGTCTCACATTCACGCCCCATCTCATCCAGATACACTGGAATCCATATAATCATTGCAGTCACTATTCTCTCATACACAGCCACAACTAACAATTCAAATAGATCTGCTTTACATCCTGATCCACGTCACGTTTCCATCTCTTGCACCTTCATATTAACCTCACACTGGTTTCATTTCTGTCCCAGAGGAAGAGTAGAGGTTGGGGGTGTTGGGTGAATTTTGGCACTGGAAGGTAGAGCAGCAGTAGAGCAAGAGGAGGAAGAGGTTGAGGAGGGTGAGGAATAGGAGCATAACTTCCCCCCAGTAGCAGTAGTGCTATCTGCTGGTGCAGCGGAGCCACTGCCAGGCAGTGGGGGTGCAGCCGTGGACACTGGAGATGTGGGCATTTGGGAAGGCAGCAGCGGTTGGCTTTGAGGTGTAGATTGGGGCAGCTGGGTGATGGGCTTTGTCTCTGGTAGAGACTGGGACTGTGTGGGAGTTTGCATCCCGGGCTGCTGGCAGAGTGTAGACTGCTGATAGGTCGCCTGCTGTAGGGGGAGAGACTGATGGAGGTGTAAACTTTGTTGCATCGGTGGCACTGTGGCCATGTGCGATTGTGGTGATGGTCCCAGAGAGTGCAAGGTGGAGAGGCTTCCTCCAGCGGTGTAGTGAGGAGGGGTTGCCCCGGGCAGGCCGGCAGGGGTCGGGGATGCCAGGGGATTCAGCGGTGTCACTGGAAACCAACCAGGGGGAGCCTCCTGTATGGAAAATAATTCACAGTGCAATCATGATATCCATAAAACAATCCCAAACAAATATTTTTTTCTATAGTGAGTATTCCTACCTCTGTCGGCTGGCTCCAGCCTCCCAACTCCTGCACCTGCTGAATCTGTTTGATTTGATTAAGTGAAGGTTTGGGCTGGGCGGGGCCCATCGTCTCCTTCGTCCAATCATCAACAAGTTTGTGCAGTTCATCTGTGAATGTGCTTTTTCTAAGAGGGCTGTGATCTGTGGAAAAATTAGGGCATGTATCATAATTGTTCTGTTTAATTTCTGTGTTGTCTTGATTTATCACTGAGAGACTGCACCTCGTTTGGCAGGCAATGAAGTGCAGTGCTCTGTGTTGCAGTAAAGGGGCAGCCTAGTCTGTTCACCACCTGAGAAACTACTTGACTGCTGAATCCCTAGACGGGAGATATATAGAACAGTCACACAGAGATCAAGCAGTAACAGAAAAAAGAGAAAGCGGGAGAAACATCATCTATAAAAGTGTGTACCAGAGTGTGTGACTCCGTTGTTATCCATGTGAGAGTGAGGCCGCGGTCGGAGCTTGATTTTGGCTGGCCTGGGCCTACGAGGAGAGAGGACAGGGGGTCCCGAGGGAAGAGAAGGGATGCGGGACAGGGAGGCAGGCAGACTCTGCCTTTGGTCTTTGAGGGAACGAAGCTGTTGGTACAGCTCCTGCAGCTCTCTGTTCTGCTGGGACTGAAGGCACACCACCTCTTTGATGTGCCTGTAAAGAAAGAGAGACAAACAGAATAGGAATATAGTAAGAGTTTCAAGGTTTGAGAAAAGAACATGAACTGAAAATGCAAAACAAAAGAGTATTTAAGGGTAAAAACACTTGTTATATAGACAAGAAACAACCATAAATGGAAATATAGCAAAATGGAGGTTAAGCTTTGCCCTCTTTGGCTTACTTCTCTCTGAGCGTGTGTAGTTCTTTTCTCAGGTCTTCATCCACCATCTCACACTCATTATCATCATCATCGTCATCGCTGCTGGCCAGGGGGGAGTGGCTGTGCCCATGACCTCGAGGCAGGTGAGCCATTGCTGGGGTCCTCTTATGCTCATCTCTCTCTCCCTCCTTTGCTCGAGATCTCCTCCTCTCCCTCTCCAGGTCGGGAGACACCGGGGAGCTGTCAGTGTTCCTGTCCGCTTTCCTGGTCTCGGCCTGGCTGACAGAGAAGCGTCCCACTTTCCTGTGCGTGCTCCCATGAGCTGATGGCGCAGCCTTCGGGGGAGAGGACAGGGGAACGGGTGTCACCTGATGGCAGAGGATGTGGGAGATATTAGCTTCCTGTCCGAGCTGCAATGAAGGTTCAGACTGATGAGTGGCAAAGATTAAATCTGTTCTGTTGCTCCTACCTGAAATCGTCCTTTGCGTGCATGAGGTGGATTTAGGGGTGGCGCCTCCTTCTCCTCTCTAAGTGCCTGACTGCTGGAACGTCCTTCTGATAAAGAGACAGGGATGAAAAACAAAAAATGGGAGACAAGGACCGACAGGGGCAAAACCACAGAGACATGGGTATGAAGAGAACAAAAAATGATGAGGAACGAACGCAACAAACACAAAAAAATGTACCCGACATGAGACATACAGATGCACACAGATAGACGTGGGACATGAACACAGAGGCACAGTGTTAAAAATCACCCTTCAGTGTCACACATCATTAACTCTGCGACTAACATGACTTGCATGCAGTTTTATGAAATGTGTAACATATGAGTTCTGTGAATGTAATTTGGTAAAATATAAACAAAAAACTGGATAATACATTTTTGTAGATGAAAGAAAATAAATCTTAAGAATGTGTAATGGGCGTGTGGGGAGGGGTGGTAAATGCTTGTGTCATTAAGAAAAATTATAGTAGGCATTTCATAAAAATAACACATAGTGAAATGGCATTTGAATGTTTACAACAGTTTACCCCCACCCACCCACACATCCACTCACTCATTCTCACTGACTCACCATATTCCCACTCATATATCAGACAACAGAGCCCAATATCACATTCCAGCTCTGTGCTCTATTCCAGTGATATTGTTCAGTGTTTTTGATATTTGGGATTACTACATGTGCAAAGTGTAAACATGGATAATAACTGCATAATTTAAAATCAACATTTATAGGTATGCAGCCTGATACAAATTAGGGGTCAACTGATTTGTTTTTTTCAGGGGCGAGACAAGGCTGATTATTCATCAAGGAGACCAATAACCTTGTTTTTGCAACTTCGGTTGTGATTCTGTTGCTGATTTCAACTCCAGCAATATCTGCAGCATTGTATAAAACACTGATTTACTTGCAGCTTTAGTCTGGATTAGCTGCACCAGAGCCAATGTAGTGGATTTATTTTCATTTTCTTTATTTGAAAAATAACTATTCTTCTAAATGCTTGATATCCCAGATGACTATCGGTTGACCCCTTATTTTAGTGTTACTTACAGGCAACGGTCCATTATTAGTCAGCTGTGCGGAACATAACATGTGCTCATGCATGTGCACTTTCAGAAAAGGCGCTACGCTATTGCTTATCATATTAAACATATAAACAAAAACACATGCAGGACGGCTGAAATAATTGTCAGCGTGACAGCTGTTACAGCTGGGAGCAATGCCTACCCATGTATAAGACAACCTTATAATCCCTGGGAAATGTGCACAATATGGCCTGGAAATAATAACTTTAATCTGCATATTTATAGTTAATGCAAATGGAATTATGGCCTACTACCACTACAGAATATAGCATAGTCTCATGGAGACATGCTACTGTAGGAGCTGACACAGAAGGCGACACATTTTCTAAATGTAAACTGATGACACAATATCAGTTTAGCAACTAAGCATCTTTCTTATATGTGTAATGAGGTGAGTTGCCCGGTGCTGTCTACACTGAGCCAGCAGGTGGAGGTGAGATGGTTGCTGCTGGCTGTGCTTGCAGACTCGTGGCAGAAATATGAAGGGAGATGTCACGGCACAGGCACAGCTGGGTTTTACTCCAGAGCCAACCTCTTCCTACACTGTGCCAATCTTCCACCCTCCTCTACTCTCGTCTGTTCTCGCCCCAGGGTAAGCAACCCATGCAAAATTAAAGATTGCCAAGAAAATAAAATTAAGCAAAAATAAATTTAGAAAAGAAGGGAAACAAAACAATAATGCATGTAGTGATGTCAACACTAACATTACATGGATTGTCTATTGTCACATTAAAATATAAAAAAACAGGATTATTTAGCTATCAACATTAACATTAACAGTAATTAATTCCTGTTGGTTAAAAAAGTTATTTTACTATGTTAAAACTAGTACTAGATATTAGAGTTACGACCATGTCCCAACATCCCATTCTCACTCTCTCTCTCGCTCCCTGAGAGGACGCTACCTTGCTGGACTCTGGGCTTCTTGAACAAGCTGGCGGAGTGGCGCAGTTTGCACGCCCAGTTTTTGAATTTGCGAGTCCAGGATTTCTTGCTAACAGGATTTCTGATACTAGGACATGTCAGGTTTAGGCCAAAATATCCACCTCCTGCATTGTGCTTCTGCTGTCCATGCCGGAGGGGGATCGGGTGCTGATTGGGGGGCCACGATGCGTCTCCAGTGGTACTGGTGTCAGAGTGTGGGCGTACAGCCTAGAACAGTTAAGACAATTAAGAGTGGCTGCATGGAGTTGAGACGTTCAAAACGGAGAGACACACAAACATGTCAAAACAACAAATGTAACAAACAGCTTTAGACAGCAATACACTGACATTTACTAAATAAAATAATGTACATTTAGTATAGCGAAGACAAATTTGATAGAGAATGTTCGCAAAATGTATCACTCACAAGAATGGTTGGTTCTCCTGGTACGGGTGGACGCTGGCGCCCAACAGACTCATCATGATTGGGAGGAAGGAGAGAGGCAGGCGGGGTGGAGGAGGCGGAGGTGGAGGGGAGAGATGGACCAGGCTGGTGCTCCACTGGGCCTTTCTCTGCAAAATAAACTGCTTCTGAGGAAGGTATTTCTCCTCTGCAACCCCTCTCTCGGTCAGGGGAGGTGGATGAGGAACGGGAGGTTGTAGAGGAGGTAGAAGAGGATGAGGAGTGAGGAGAAGTATTTGAGGAGGAGGCAGGTTGGGGGAAAGAGTAGTGGCGAGACAGTGGCTCAGATGACTCGTCTCCTGCTGCTGACGTGGAGGCAGCTGATGTAGGTCCAGAGGCCGGCGCCGCCCCGCTGCTGTACTCCTGATACAACAAGTTCCTCAGCTTCTCATCCAGGGTCTTTATGCGGTTGTCCACAAATTCAATTTTGGGGGGGCCTTCACTGTCTGACTCAGCCACGGAGGAAGGCTGAGCGGGAGATGGTGTCATCGTGAGGGAGAGTGTGGGTACGGGTGCATCAGAGCTCAGATTGAGAGGCGGCAGAGAGGATTCAGAGGAAGGGGGGAAATTCGTAAAGTAGCTGCATGTGTCTTCTGTGAAACTTGTCTCTCCTGTAGAAACCTCTGACTCTGACATCTGTAAAGAGGACTGCTTCGTCAGGGAAAACTGCTGTTGTTTCTGCGGTGTGTCCGTCGCTTTAACCGCTTCTTGTTGCTGCTCAGTGTGTTGCTGCTGTATATGCTGGTGTGACAACTCAGCAGGGATTTGTGTTTGTTGTGGAATCTGCTGTTGTGGTATCGGGCTAACATTTAGCTGGGCCTGTTGTTGAAGAAACTGTTGACTAATTGGCACAGGCAGCATTTGGCTGTGATCAGGATTTGAAGCCACAGAACCCATAAACATCTGCTGTTGTGGTTTTTGTTGTTGTTGTTGTTGTTGTTGTTGTTGCTGCTGCTGTTGCTGTTGCTGCTGTTGCTGTTGCTGCTGCTGTTGCTGCACCAGCTGCTGTTGCTGTAAGTGCATTGTCTGTTGTAGGTGTAGCTGCTGCTGTTGATCAATGGCAGCCTGCTGTTGAGGCAATGCAGCAGCTTGGGTTGCCATTACTTGCTGTTGTAGCGCAGGCTGTTGCATCATTGTTGTTGTTGTTGTGATTTTTGTAGCGTAAGACGTTGTCGTCCGATATAATTTGTGTTGTCGATGTTGGTCTTCCGGTCGAAGTCGTTGCCGTTGTACTCGTCGTTGTCACGTTGAGGTTGTCGTTTATCTCGTCGTCGTCGTTCGAGACAACCGGGTTGTTGTCAATCGTCGTTGTCGCACAGTCGTTTTGTTAAGAACGATGTTGTTGTTGGTTCGCCTCTCTAATGTAGTTTTCCGAGACTATGTCGTAAGTCTAAGTCCTCGTCGTCGTTGTTCGTCGGGGCAGGAGTCGTTGGCCTTCAACAGAGACTAAGAAGAGTTTCGTTGTCAACTCGTCGTCTGAAGTCTGACGTAGGTTCGGCTATACGTCGTGACACACACAGGGTGTTGGTTTGCGGGGGGTCAAATGCAGAGTAAGACGGAGTGTGTTGTCGTTCGTCGTACTAGCAGTCGTCGTCCGGCTTCGTAAACAGACCGGGGTCCGGGAGGGTCGTAGTGCGACCGTAATTACACTCCCGGATTATAGAGTCAACCTCGAGGTCGGTGAACTCTATCTAGGTCTAGTCCGGGGGAGTTAAACAGCGTCCCGGTCCAGGGGGTACCGTGGAAAGTCTGAATGAGTGCAGGGACAGGTCTGCGGACGACCACTAGTGGTCGGTTCAGAAGTGGGTCGTTCCTTTCTCACTCCGAGAGGGTCTGGCCGGGTCAGTTAATAGTGGTCAGGTGTCATGTTCGGTGAGTCCGGATACTACCTCCGGGTTCATGGACGAGGACGCGTGATAGGTCCTGTCTTAGTACATAGGTCTGGTGAACAAGTCATGGAAGTCGTTTATTAAGAAAATGTGCTGATCATTTAGGTCCTGGACGGGCGGGAGATGTGGCTGAAGTCCACTAGGTCAGGGTTGTAACGGGTTGACACCCTGTAAGTCTACTAAGACTCGGTTGTCTCGTTTCCATGATAGAGTCGGAGGTCGACATTTAACCGAGGTTAGCGCAGGGTCAGGTCTAGGTTCGTAGCTCTGAGAACAAGTCGGTTTTGACGAGTTTACGGACACGAGTACGCGGGGTCCAGGTCGTTGTTCTGAGTCCGGGTGGGGAGCGGTCTGTGTACGAGTCACGGTGCTGACGACCGGAAAACTGGGTAGTCATAAAGGGAGTCGCGCTGGGGGTGGGTTCGGAGACGGTGGAAATGTTGTCCTTACATGTGTATAATTGACGTCGTCGTCGTCGTCGCGTCGGTCGTTCGTTCTCGTTGTTCTGTGAAGGTCGATGACGATATAGTCGGTCTTACGTTAAGACAGAGGATCGAGTCACCTTCACAAACCTTCATGCATGATCAGTGTCAAGGTATCAACTGGGACGTTGAAACAGGTGGTGAGGAGTAGGACACGTTGTCAACCTGTCGGATATGACAGGTCCGCGATACGTCGCGAGGGTCCTTTCCTCGGGAAGGTCAAGTGAATCAGGTAGTGGGAGGGTCGGAGGGTACGGAAGTCAGACGACACGTTAATGCTCTTTTTGTGTCGATGTCTTTCGAAAGAGTTGCGTCGTGGTGACCGAGGTGGAGAGGTGTTCCGAGTTCAATGACCGAGTCGGGTTAGGTGTGCGTAGGTCGTTGGAGAGAGATATTTTGTCCGACCCTACGGGGAACTACTCTCCAGACGTCGGGGGTGTCCAGGTGGACAGAGTTGTAGACCAACTCGTAGAGAAGGACGTCGTCTGTCCGTGGACATACAACGTTCGGGTCGGGACGGGTAGTTGTCAGGTTAGAGCACCAGTCCGCCGGGGGGCAGAGGCGTTCGTGTTCGGGTTTCGTCTACGGAACGGTCGGAGTGTGTGGTGTGGTGTTTGTCGAAAAGTCACGGTTTAGGTGTAGGGGGGTTTGTTGTCTGGCGTGGAAGTTCTGTGTCCGAGTAAGAGTGTGGTTTGTGCGTGACCTATGGAATAACGCTTGTCGCGGCAAGATTAGGGGTCGACAGAAATCGACGTGTTGTTTGCGGGAGTTGGGGACAGAGTATGCGAGTATAGGGGGTTTGTAGTGTGGTAGAGAGGAAAGGACGGAGGGTGGGAGGGCGACCGCGACGGGGGAGACGGTTCTTCGCACGGATGTAGAGGAGGTCGTCGGGTTCTATTGGGATGTCCCGTCCGGCTGAATATGGGGTTGTGGAGGGCGAGACGACAGTGAATTGAGATTTTACGAACTGAGATTTACGGGGGCTTTGATTCGGGGCGTTCGGGAGCGACGTTCTGACACTGGCAATGGGACAACCACCGCTGAACGAGTCCCATCGTCCTTCTTACTCTCAACTTAATTTTCTTAATATGAAACGACCGTATGCGACCGTCTTACTATCTCACTGATGGTTGATGAATAAACTTTTTGTGAAACTGACAAACCAACTTTGATGCGGTCCACAAATTAGAAATTTGTACTCTATAAATATCTCAGCACGTACAATAATCTACTTTCAATAATAAGTAATATGAATGAACCTTTTTTAGAAGTTACGATTGTACAATCAAGAGAAAAGAAACACAGACGTATGGAGGACACGAACAAAAGTAAAATGAGATGTTCCTACCCGGTATGGCAGATCATGTCTTGTATTAAGAGAAGGTCCCATTACAGAGAATTTAGCGTGGGCGGTAAAGATGTATTATACACAAACGTATATTTAATAAGGTTGTACAGTTAGGCACGTTCTATTTTTGTGACATCATCACGGGCTATGAGCTCTTTGACAACAGTTTTACGGAATCAGACTGTTGCCGAGGTTCTGTAATTCACGTTAGTCAGGAAAGACTTATCACATTTTGTGTACCCCTCCGTATATCAAGACATAAACATGCGACTTTCGGAAAAGATGTAAAACATACAAATATATCTCTACCGGTTACCTTTATTCCGTATTAGTCGTTTGATGTAAAGAGTCAAAAGTCTTATCACCCATCTGACTCAATCTAATCCTTGATATTACAACGTAATCCGAATCAAGTGTATAAAAAATGGTTTTATAGATATACGATTGAATAACAAACGCGATAACTGGTTAGTTGGGTGTCACATGCACAGTTGTACTTTATGTATGTAGACCTACACAAAGACACACTATATTTTACGAATTTACTAGCATCAACTAATTATTTATTACGTAGTGTAATGTATAAAAGTCCCTACATGCCATACCAGATTCGCCATAAAAACACGTAGTACTACACGATTTGGGCTCGAAGAATGGCAATGTGTGGTCGTCCAGGCAAAGGTCGATTACCCTCCTTTTGGGAAGGTCCGAGTACCCGTACCCGTATCAATCTATCTCAATTTCTACGTTTCCATTCGAGGCCCAGTCTTCAGACTCTTTCAAAGTGTAGTCATAGTTTGACTCGTACGAGGTCCATTTTTCGTTGGGGATCGTATACACGACTTAATTACATATCAGGATATCGTGGTACCAAAATTTTGATTTGGAGATATGTACAACTAAATAGTAACAGGAGCGGGGTCCACAGTCCCGTCACCCTGTTTTCCACCTTACGGTCAACCTTTGGGTATGGTTGTTCTTACCTGTGTACAATTTAAACTGTGGCTTCCCTACCCGTCGTCTTCCTATATCGTCTATGTACCATCCGGCGAGGCTTACAATAATATTGTCATACGTACGAAGAATTTTTATAAGTAACATACAGAAAATAGTTCGACAGACTAACGTAAAACAGACATCCCATCTCCTCTTGAAACAAGAACTACATCTCTTTCTCTCTGTAAACAACTCCCTCGAATCTCGGTGACGGTCTTTCTGAGTGCTTTAGAAAGGTTTGAGTAAGTGTTCATACAACTATAGGTATAAAATTAGAGTGTGAGAAGAGAAGCGAGACTTTACAAAGACCAAAAACTTTTTATTAATAAATGATTAGAGATAAGAAGTTATCTGACCTTGTTGACTGGTCAACAAACACTCGTGAGGCTGGTCAAGAAAGTTTCACTCAATACTTATTTAACGAAAAATCAGGTGTTTTTCATCGCGGTCTTTTATTTTATTATACACATAGAAGATATTTAACAAGATGTGATTTGATCCTTTTATGCAGATACGACCGAAAGGTGTCAGCCTCCCGTCACGGCGGTAAGGAGGGTCACCCTGCGACCGCGAAGAATTAGTTAGTCTGATAAGGGGTGTCTCTGAGAGATAGGGGCCTCGTCTCATGTGGCGAATGTAGTACTTCTCTACTCCTAGGAGACAGAGGAAGTTTGTCTCTCTCCACTGGGAGATCCCAATTTAACATTTACGACGGATAAAATGTACTGAACTGTACTGTCGTATTGTTCTTTGATTGGTAACACAGGAAGAGTACACGCGGCATCTTTCACTTCCTAGTGGTCTCAGTACCTCAGGTATTGGGTCTGACTGAAGAGGGGACGGGTGCGGAAAGGCGGGTGGAGGGGAGGACGAGAGTGACGGAGCCGGGACGGAGGTAACGGGGAGTTCGTGCGACGCGGGCCGAGAAAAAATGGGGTGACCGGGGACTTTCGTAGAGTCGTGGTCGGGAGGTGAGAATTTAGGAGACAGGGACGGTGACGAAGTCCACCCAAAACTTGCCGGTTAGGGTTTGGGAGTCGAAGACCAACTGGGTTTAACGTTCACAAGGGAGTAGGTATCGTTATTGGACGACGTTTTGGGGGGGTGACGGGGTTGCAGTACAGGGGGTGTGGGTACTTTGTAAAGAAGGTTCTTCAGGACGAGAGGGACCTCGTTCCACGAGGTGGACGTTGTCCAGTCTCATACCCCCTATGTCACGATTGACCGATGTTTTCCAGTAATACAGCGGACGTCGCCCGGTTGAAGTTGAAGAAAGTGAGGGGAGGAGGACGACGTAAACGCCACTAGGAGAAGACGCCATTCGAATGAACCGTACCTCGTAGGTCGTTTGCGAGTAAGTCGTTACGGTGTTGTTTGGTGTCCGTGTGTTGATGTCGGACGCAATGTCGTCGTCCCAAGGCCATCAAGTTGTCGTTGACGTCCGTTACGTCGAACTTTGCTGGTCTATGTCGTCGTCGCGTTGGTGTCCGTTGTCGTGTAGGTCACATAGGTTCTCGTTTACGTCTACCGTCGTCAGGTGAGGTCGTCGATGTTTGTAGTCGTTGATACGTCGTGTGTTTAATGTTGACTGACTACACCGTCCACAACGTGTGTCAGACACGGAGACGTCGTGCAAAGACGGTGGATCAGGGGGGTGTCGTCTGGGTGTGTTCGGGAAGGTCGGAGTTGGTCGTGTTTGTGGAGTCATTANGGGGGGGGGGACACAAACGGGCAGACAGCAGAGCTCGGCGCAATAATGCAGATTTGTTTGACTTTTTTACACTTTGTTGTTCTCCTCCTTTCTTCCGCTCTTGTCTCTGATTGTGAGTGTGTGCATTCGCGTGTGGGGGAGCGGAGCCCCGCCCTTCAGAAACAGAGCGGAGGGAGAATGTGAATACGCAAAGCAGTGGACACTGAAACATGCACATTGGATAAATAACAGGCGTTTAGTTTATTTAATACAAGAGCACATGTTCAATGTGAAAAGTGACCCTAGATAGATTACTTCAGTTGCACAAAAAAAACACCTTGAATTTCAGGCGGGGCGCGGGGCTCCGTTGGCAGGGCGCAGCGCCCCGCCAAGACAATGGTAGGGGAAACACTGCATTGGTTTTATTCCTAGACAACTGTGTTTTATATGTAATGTCTACGCAGCATTGTGTTGTCAATGTGCTGCTTTTTTTCCAGTCAGATATGCAGATTGACAATCCTGCTTTTTGATTCTGTTGATTTAAATCAGCATCTCATTCTGGTAGATTAAGAATCTAAATTGTGACACCTCTTATAATGATAGCAATGCTCTCTGAGTTCCCCTTTCAGTTCATGACATGTTTCAGTCCTTATCATTTGAGCCTCATAATACCCCCTTCTTTATAGCTGCGCTCGCTCCTGACCTCATCTCTGTTAAATCTCTTTATTTCAAAATGCTTCATCTTTTTACGTTGCCTTTTAGCTGATGGATATGGGTTTCTCCCGAGAGCATGCCATGGAGGCCCTACTGAACACGAGCACCATGGAGCAGGCCACAGAGTACCTACTCACTCACCCTCCTCCACTTCTTGGTGGAGCAGTAAGGGTAAGAGATCATAAAAAGAAATGAGCACGTACTTCCCTCCTTATTAACTTTGCAAGTCAAATTCAAGCAACTGACATTGTTCTCCATGTTTCATCTAGGACATGACCATGTCAGAAGAGGACCAGATGATGAGGGCCATTGCCATGTCACTTGGACAAGAGGTCAGCATGGAGCAGCGATCCGACTCTCCTGAGGTGTGGCCTCCTAACTTCTCAAATTGCATGCAAAAACATTTCACTTTCAACTGTCTGATGCTTAATGAACCCCAAACTTAAGACAATGGTGCCGATTAGCTGAGCAGCCGCTGAGATGATTTCTGTGTTCTTCAGGAGGCAGCACGTCGGCGCGAGGAGGACGACAGGAGAGCCAGGGAGCGGGCAGAGGAGGAGGAGGCCCGCTGCCTGGAGCGCTTCATGGAGGCTGAGCCCCTGGACCCCAAGGAGCTGCACACCTTCACCGATTCCATGCTGCCTGGCTGCTTCCATCTGCTGGACGAGCTGCCTGACACCGTGTACCGGCTCTGTGACCTGCTGATGACGGCCATCAAGAGGAGCGGCCCCGAGTACAGAGATCTCATCCTCGGACAGGTCGTCCACCAGGTCAGTGGAGAGTTGATGGTTCACATTGCAGTCTGCTCTAGAGAGATTACTATATATACATGTTAGGATTCAATGACTTGCAGGATGCAAAATATTAATGTACATATATACATTCCTTTGTTCAGATGCATTTAAAGTTGAGCTCTACCGAGTCCGTTCATTATTCATTTTGAATAAGAACATTCTGAACATCTGTATCAGTGTTTCTAACTACCTGTTAACAGGATGTCTGCAATTAAGACTGCCAAGTACTTTAGCTTAAATATCAAATTGAGAGCTGTTATAAAATTGAAATTTGATTGAAAAGCAGTGTATCTTTGTTTCTGTATTTGTAATTGGTTTAGCCAATGTCTTGAATGCAGAGCTAACTTTGTGATCCAGTCTGTATGCTGTGATCACTCATTGGCAATAGAAGCACAACATTCCTGTGTTCCTGATTGTGTGTGTGTGTGTGTGTGTGTGTGTGTGTGTGTGTGTGTGTAGGTGTGGGAGGCAGCAGATGTGCTCATCAAGGCGGCTGAGCCCCTGACTACCAGTGACACAAAGACGGTCTCTGAGTGGACCAGACAGATGGCCACACTGCCACAAGCCTCCAAGCTTGCAACAAGAATTCTGCTTCTGACGTTGCTTTTTGAGGTAACAGAAAGGCATCCATTAAAAATGGTATCCTTCAAGCGTAATTCATAGAAGAATTGTCTTGTTAATCTACACAGCCTTAACAATCACTTGTTGGTTTTTGTTTCTGAAGGAGCTGAAGCTGTTGGGTGCCAGAGTGATCGAGAACAGTGGGATTCTTAACTTGCTGATAAAGCTGCTTGAGGTCGTACAGCCCTGTCTTCAGGCTGCTAAAGAACAGAAAGACATCCAGACACCAAAGTCAGTTCTTCAGCCTCACACACTCATTTGAACTTGAAAATGATAAACCGAATATTCTATAGAAGAGCCTTAATTTGTACTAATCATCAAATGACATCCCTTTTCTGCAGATGGATCACACCAGTGCTGTTGATCATTGACTTCTATGAGAAGATGGCAGTCTCTTCAAAACGCAGGGAACAAATGAACAAGGTAAAAGTCTACCTTTTTATAAAACCAAGCCTCAGGCACAGATTGCATTTGTAAAGTTAGACACTAACCTGTTAGGTTACAAGTACAGGTTTAGAAAAACATGCACTATGTCTTCATTGATTTGGAAACATGCATACATTCAATATGTTTGTACTTTGAGGTACTTTTCTGCTAAATACCCTTTTTTAATGCACGTTCTCTTTATTCAAGACTTGAACATTCAAAGTATTTAGATAAGAAGATAATAATAAATGTTATTTCAAACAACCTTGCTTCAAGAATTCATTTCGTTTTGTTTTTGTCCAGAGTTGTTTGGTATTTTGTGTACCTCTTTAGTCAAATGAATGAGTTTTCTTTTTGTCTGCTTCTAGTATCTGCAACCCAACGGGAATAACTGGCGTTGGTTTGATGACCGCTCCGGCCGGTGGTGCAGTTACAGTGCGTCAAACAACAGTACCATTGACTCTGCATGGAGAGCTGGGGAGAGCAGCGTCCGCTTCACAGCTGGCCGCCGGAGATACACTGTGCAGTTCAACACCATGGTGCAGGTATTCACCACCCCTTTGTTCACAGCCTGAGAATACTAGGGCTGTCCCGAATACCATTTTTCGGGTTCCGGATATTCGGTAGTAATCAGCAGCGAATATTTGAATATTCGGTGCGGAGAGATTTGTATTTTTTTTTCAAAAAAACTTTTTGGGGAAAAAAGGTTTCATAACACGCTCCGAATTCGAGACACCTGACAACACACTGTTAAGCAGAAGCGCAGAAAGAGCATACTATTACGATTTATATTTATTTATTGTCTCAGTACTCGCAAACATTAAAACTAAATGTGTCCTCTGTAGGGTAACTGTAGGGTCTGCTCTATTGTTGAGGATGTTGATGGCTGGGATGCGTGGGGATGCACCTATGGACACAAGTTATTATTAGGCTGAGCTACTCAACTTTATGCCATTGCCTTAGCCCCAGATGTTCCCACATTACATTATTATTTTCACTATTCGGATAAAAGCAAAGTAAGTGCACGTTTTTATCATGTGTAACGTTACTGTTTAAACGGCAGATAAAGCAGCTTCGTCATGGCAACTTGACAACAGCTAAGCTAAGCTA